AAGTTATCACTAGGCTGTAATGTAAACACTGCATTTTCTCAGAAAAGACAGTGTTTACAGCAAAAAGCCTGAAAGGAGCTATTCTACTCACCAGAACAAATTCAATAAGCTGTAGTTGTTCTGGTGACTATAGTGTCCCTTTAATGTTATCTTATGTTACAACAAATTGTTATCTCCTAAGATATTGCATGCAGAGGGCCCAAAGGATCGTTCAACAAATTAGCATCAGCTATGATAGCAAAAAGCAGTAAAAACATCCTAAAATCTTTACATCAGATTTGAGGACCATGTCACACACGTGCAAAGAAGCCTTAAGTCAATTCGGTAAACAGCAAATTGTAGAAAGCTGGCAACAGGTTCACAAAACCTATTAAAACGATTTAGATTATTATCTAACTAGCCTATGTGTTACCCATGTCGTTTTGTCACTCCTAGTCAGTTGAAGTGTAGCACTGAAATTAAGGAAATGTATTCACACTTACGGTACTTGTTTTTTTCTCTGACTATTATCCATGGGAGCATTAACCTGTGGGTTAGCTCCCCTCTCACAGCTGATGTAAATGAAATTACAACTTTAAATTAGAAGCCTAGGTTCCAGTAGAGGAATAGAAAAACAAACTAATGATGATAAAGTTCTACCATGAATAATAGCCAAGAGAAGATAATTATAGTAAGAAAAATATATTTCTTTATTCCTGCTTACCATGATGTTGTCTAGGGGCAGTGCTGAACCATATTATTATGCAAAGCATCAAAGACAGCATTAATTTGAAAAGTGTAACCAATTGCGCACTTTATGACCGAACGCAGCCTGACTAAACATTCTATCATTAGTATAAAAAAGGTTTTGAGGATAACAGCACTCAGGAGAAGCCTTATCCTGAGCAGAATAAGTGGACATTGATCATGTAGAGTGCGCCTTTAGGCTATGTGGAACATGAATATTCTGAGCTATGTAGTCTATGGAAAAAGTTGAATTTGACCATAAATTGAGAATTGATGCAGCTTAAATTGCAAAAATAAACCTCAGGGAATAACAAAAAAAGTCTGGAAGAGTTTCTCCATTATTTTGAACAGTAAATGTGGACAGAGGTACATCTTATAAGAATCAAAGTAAGCCATCTCATATTTTCAGGAGTAGAACGATCAGAGCAAAATAAAGGAAGCATCATTTAATGGTTGCAATGGTAGCTAGATATTACCATGGGAAATAAGGAAGGTACAGTCTCAGAGCTTACTTATCTCTGTGGAAGATGATGCCAGTCTCGAGCTGGAAAAGACTTGCATATCAGCCATTCTCCTAGCTTGTACTAATGCCACCACTTTTTTTTTTATATATAAACTACAGATGCTGACAGTTTCCATGACTCTAAAAATGTTTAATACTATTGATCCCAGTAATGGCAGAAAAGGAGTTTGGGATTTTCCCACCAAAACAAAAAGAGTGGATACTGAAAACAACATACAGGCAGTGTGCAGGTGCATTATGTGAATCCAGGGGACGCCAGTTCATAATTCAAGGGCAATATGTAGCACAGGCTTCTTGAGAAAGATGAAGAATACTATGTAAACAAAACAAAAAAAATATAAGAAAAAGAGGTCTGCCCTGTAATTGAGGGAACAGGAGGGGCTGGGGAGTATTGGGGTATCATGTATACTTTGTATTTCCTGTCCCACTTGCTGTCAGTGCGTAGTTAAACCACAGGCAATGCTTCAGTAGTTAGCCAGAAAATGATAGTTGCTGTTTTCTGACAACTGATGGTTGTTACCAGATTTTTGTATATAAAAAATATAGCATACATTTCATTATGTTGTAAGTGTGCCCCCTCTCTTATTCACCCAAGAAGTCAGTATTGCAATTGCTGTAACGTGGAGTCTCTCTTACCTGACCCCGGATTAGTGTCTCAGTAAAAGGTGTGATTAAATTAATAGTATTATCATTATCATTATTATATTTATATAGCGCCAACAAATTCCGTAGCGCTTTACATCCGTCCCATGTTTTATTTTCTTTAATATTACAATACCATCTACTTATTCACGTAACCATTCTTTTAATACATATGGGTTGATCCTGCGTGGTTGGTATAATTATTCTTATTTCGAACATTCATTTTTATGTGTATAGTGTGAGAATGCAATGTTAGAATATTTAATTTTCACTCAACTGATATTTCATTCCTAGATAACATTGCACTCCGTCCATCCTAAAGACAGATAACTAAACTCGATATCAAGATTTAAAATACTGTATAAATCTGTTCTGTGAAAATTGAGATAGCTTGAAAACTTTATAAATTAAATATTATTAAGACTACAGATGACATTTTCAACTAAGCAGTATTCATACGAATTTTTCAACTTGATTGTTATGCCATGTCAGAAAAGTTGTTATAAGGAGGAGTCACATAATTACAGGCCAGTGACTTTAACATCTGTAGTTAGGGAACCAACAGTACTTGCTAATGGAAATATTTGTAGAATAGATAAAATAGTAAAGGTTAGAATATTCAAGGAATATTTAATTTACTTTAGCAGAACCATGTTATTTCACTTCTTGACTTGAGTATTGCGGTTTAAGATAAGGATATGGAAATAAATATAGGTTATGTAGACTTTAGAGTTTGTGTACCATGCTCAAAATGTATTCAGAATGTCAATTTATTGAAATAGAACATTTCAGAATGCATGAAGGAATTAGGAGAAAAACCACAAACGAATATGGTGAATTTTAGAAGAAACATTAGCTACCGATGATTTTCTTCAGGGAAAAGTCCTGGCACTAGCCCCTTTTGGCATATTAATTATTAACACTGTAAATGTCTTATGGGCCAAATATTGCAAGAGAGTAGTTTCTAATTGTCTTAACCAAATTACAAGTGGTTCACAAGACTAGAGCACTGGTTGATAAATTTATTATTGCACTTAAAGATATATGCACTTTAGTTAATTATATTTATACAAGGATTTTTTATATAATTTTACGAAGTACACCTCTTAAGAAATGGCGCACCTTATTTGTTTTTTAACAGCTACCAATAAGTAATGTTATTTACATTTGAGAGACAAAATAACTCACATAATATTTTTGGATATACATTTCACAGGACACACATAGAAGACAAATAGTGTCTGAGAGTAAAATCTGACGTGGCTTAAAAGTAAGCAAAATGACAATTTTGACATATTCAGCCTACTTTGATACCCCTAAAGAAACACTCTAGCTTTAAAAATAAATATATTTGCGATACCCCAAACTCTTTGAAACTCAATATCACAAAGCCTACCACACTCTCAATATTCTTCTAATGATATACACTAAGAAATAGTTCAATAATTGAAGCACTAGTTTTGCCATATGTCTAAGCAAATCTAAATCATATTCTAAATAATTCTCTGTAGAAAGAGTTAGAACACAAAATTACAACAAATGTCCAGAAATATTTTTTTACAGAAGAGGAAGATGTGCTTGGGGATAACTTCCATCAGGTCTGGTAGAGAAGAACACATTACAAGTAGAAGAATGTTTACAGTAAATGAATAGCTGTCCCAAGTGACAAACTACAAAAACAAACAAAAAATCTTTACTCGTCCATCTAGATGGCATAGTTGGGCCAATAACTTATCTATATTTTTTTTTATATATATATATATCATCAATATTTATTTTTCTATAAAATTATATTTTATAGGTTGCATAACAAAATATGAATAAGGTCCAAGTATGGCAAAATAATCATTGATTAAATAATGAATCTTCTAAAAGAAGGAAAACTAAAATTACGTAGTATTTGTTAATTTTCCTGATATATTAAAGGTTATTGCTATGAGTATATCCTAGCAATAACCTTCTTGGATATATCTGGAAAATTAAAAACTAGATCACACAGACACTCAAATATTCTTTTTAGTTATTAGAAAATCTGTAAAAACAGAATAAAATGTGTATCAATACAAAAAAAAAAACGAAACCAAAGAAATTTATTTTTAAGAAACAGTGGGGTTCCATTTACTTGATGCAGCTGGACAAAAAATACTCAAATATTATTTTAAAAGTAGCCACCTTGGAAGTATGACTTTTAATGCCTACAGTTTTGAGAAGGCTTAAGTTAAGAACAAACAGAGATATTTTATGCAGAATAATATGAAAGAAAACAAACCCTTATCTTGAATATCATGAAGGATTCTTGAAAAAAATTGAAAGCAAATACATACTCCCAAAATGTAATAGCTTTATTGTCAAAGTAAGGTAAAATATTATTTAGAAAGCTAGTAAACGAATTAGCAAGAATAAATACAATGCCTCATGGTAAGGATAGAAAAGTGTTTGACTTCTTGGTCATGACGATCAAAGATCCACTCGCTTCTCGTTTTTCAAGTGTGGTGAACGCAAAATGTTACCATCACCTTCCGTGTACTCAACAAATATCATTGTCATCAACTCAACAAATATCATTGTCATCAAATGTTCACGGGTCCCTAAAGAGTGATAGTTCTTACCACTGAAAACACAGTACTTTTCACAATGTAGAAAACACACACATATTTATTTTTAAAAACATATCGAAATGAGAAAAATGGTTTTACCCTTGCGTAAATTTGTATGAATCAAGTTCAGAGCATACAGTGGATCTAGCTGATAAAAGTCCACTCATGGTTCTTAATTCGATCTCAGATTACAGATGATTAACAGACATCTTTTACTGCAGAACAGTGAGTGACTGTCACAAACCATTTCTAAGCTTGCAAACGTACCTGTTCTGGCATAGTCATAGTCAAGCCTAGCAAAATATGAATCAATGTTTTATTTAATTAATGTTTAATTTGTTTACTTATATTTTTAAGTGAGTTTTAAATCGAGAAAGTTCCCTGGTGCTGCCCCACAGTCAGATGTTAAATCATTTTAGTATGGTTCAACAACTTACCTGCCTAGAGCTGTATCTACTATAGAGCTGTCAAGATCTCTATGGTTCTTGTGCCAGCCAGGCACCAGACTCCGTGGCCTCCTGAACACCCTCTGTACATTCTGGCATTGCTCCTGATGAGGAACGTTGCTGCTCTGTCTTCTTTTATGACATGCACTGTGTTCACGTCACAAACAGCGCTAGCGTGATTGTATCATCGGTGCGATGCTATGCATGCACGTACCGGTGCCACACATATGATAATGGGAGGGTCCATGTGCCTATTTATGCACCTCATGTTGATCTAATCCTTGCCCTGTCATGGTTTACATTGTGGTTAAATCAGAGAGCACATTTATCTCTTGTCTTGATCCATGGCTGCTGACTCTCGACTTACATTTGACAATTTTCGTTTCTCCACTTCTTCACCCTGCCTTGTGTGCCGTTTAGAGCTCCTTAACCTTAGCTTGCCTTCCAGTAATCTATACCTGTTCCTCGGTTCTTTAATTTATTTTACTGTTACCATTTAGCCCAGCATCCCCTAAGAACATGCCTCTGTCCATCTAGATTCCCTATCTATTTAGGTGTGACCTAAGTTCTAAGTGCTGGACCTGGCTGTATCATGCCAAGAACAGAGCAGTATCAGTTGAGAGCTGTTAGCCAATGAGTGATGTCCTGCATTGGTCCTACTTTATTCTACAGAGAGTTATGTCTTCTTTTGCTTTGCTACTGGCAGTAACGTCATGCTAAAACAAAGTGACATGTTACAGTGGGACAGTGCCAGGGTACTTATGGCATCATAAATCTCATAATGGGCTGTACTATGGTTATGGTGCTTGCAGTGTTCCTTTAATACCATTATAAAAAATAAAGTGAAAATGAATAATTGTTCACCAATATCCATGTTACATTTCAAACATACACATTAAAATAAAAGAAGAGAAATAAGTCATCAATACATACACTTTAGACTCTTGTGATCCACATTTGTATATATCCTAAGAAATTACCATACCTACCATTGAAGATGTTTGTAATTATTTTGTGTTGCCCTCAGGAGAGCCCTACCTCCTTTTGTGTAGCTATAGGGTCAGGAACCATGGGATTAAACTGCAGCTGAGCCTGCTTCTTCTGTCTCCTGCTGGCCCTACTTCTTCTGAAGTTAGTGATGTAATAATCAGAGGAGACGGGGCTAGCATGAGACAGAAGGAACCTCCAAGCTGAAGTGACCCACAGATACCCAACAGCTGCACGGAGTGTGGTAGGGAGACTCCACGAGAAAACATAGGCACACTCACCCAATATCAGCCCAACGCTTCTCTTCTTTAGATTACATTAGCCTTTACTCAAATTGTCAGTTAGTCATGTCACATTCTACTCCATGCTAATGTCACCCATTATTTTGGTTTATTCTATAATTTAACAAAACAAATATCTTTATCAACATTGTCTGTGATCTGAAAACAAATTTAATTATAGCGAAAACAGAACAGGGAAGGAAAAAAAGATTAACAATACTCTTAAGTAATCAATGGGAAAAAGCAGTAACAAGTAGACTTGTGCGCAGTGAATTTCATCCATGCAATTGTTTACAGGAAACATGATTTGGATAAACCAAAGAGGCGAGATTTATAAATAATATGCAGTAAACTGACAGGTGCATTTTCATGTCATTTTGGGCACAGATCAACTGAGAAGAAGTTACCAACAGTGAGAAAAAGAAGAGGAGCAGTGTAATAAATAAATCTATATTTATATACTATATATTCATTAAATACATACTATATACGCAAATGCGCTGTCTTCAGCAAAACCCAAGAGACGGCATATAAACTGCTTACGCATTGGTATCGCATCCCCCGACATGTTACGCAGGGTGAACCCGGAACATCCCGCACAGTGCTGGAGATGCAAAGATGTGGTAGGGACAGCACTATATGGTGGGAATGTGATAGAATTCAACCCTTCAGGAAGGGGATACACGACATGCTGCAGGACTTCACTGATAAACCACCTCCCTTCAACCCTGTTGCAATGCTCCTGCATCACACGACCATGCCAAGTAACACATATAAAAGAACGATCAGGATTAGGATCATAAACGTAGCGAAACAGATGATCCCTTACTGGAAAAGCAAGGAAACACCCACACTAGACAGATGGTTCATCCAGCTGGAGGACTTAAGGGCTATAGAGGACCTACACATGAAGTCAAATGAAAAGTCTCAAAAATTTCTAGACATATGGGCACACTGGCTACTGACCACAGCAGGGAAAAGATTTACTAACAAAATCCATCAGTGAGTCTACACTTCTAGCATTCCATACGAAATGAGTAAACCCCCAAACATAGTGCAAGCCACGACAGAGGCCTGCTTCCCCCCTTTCTTCTTCCCCAACCCCTCCTCTTTCTTTTGACATGGTCTCATGCTTGACATCTACCAGACAGACACACAATATATACGAGATAGATAAATGATTGCACACCTTTCATGTATAGGAATTACTGGAATGTTTTAATGTACATTTCCCTTCAAGAGACCTGCGAGTCCTGCTCAGGTTGCGATATATCGCAAAATAGAATGTCTCATGTGACAGTACTTACCATTCTTAATCTACACACTATAAAGACCGGGACCTGCGAGTCCCACCCCTGTTTGACGCCATACAATATAACATGCAAAAGAAACTAAATAAAAATCTATTTACAAAATAAAAATACATACTATATAAAATATATAAATATAGATGTTGTGCTGTTCCTCTTTTTTTCCCTTTAGTCACTTGATCTGTGAATAAAGTTAAAATTTACTGGCTGTCCCTAACCATCAAGCATATTTTGTTTTGGTACCAAAGATGGAGCTCCGAATGATGAAACAAACAAAACAGTTCTTGTATTGTCTATTTAGTTTGCTTCGTGATTTTCCCCTATGCCGATTTGGAGTTTGGAATTTGAGATGAATTGCAGGTCGCCAAAAATTCGTATGAATCACCCTTCTGGAGAAACCAAATGCACGTGTCTAGTAACAAGTGAAAGTTACACTAAGCACTGAAAACGAATGGAATGCAACACCTTTACATGCCACAATGCACACCATTCTTCCAGGAACAAGATCATGGATTCGAAATAAAAAATGAGTTTGATGTTGAACTGTGTAACAATGGTTTATACATCTTATATAAAAAGCAAAGAGGGCATGAGGGACAATTGCATTATATTTTATTGTAACTCCATATCTCTTAATCACCTACATTGGCTATTTGTATTGTGTTTATGGATGTCAGGGACAATCAAAATTTCTCTCAAACCAGCCATATGTTTTGGCTTTGGACCATAAGAACTGCATCTAGCTGTTGCGGTTAGGGTGCTTAGAGTACCTTTTAATTATGTCCAACACATAATTAGCTGATAGCTCTTCTTTTTGCTGTTTAGACAATATAAGCAACTGCTAAATAAACTCTGTCATTGTAAAGATTATTATTCAATGTTTATTACATGCAGAATATAATACACAAAAATGTAGGAATTTATTAGCATAAAATGGTCAACTTTTGTTCAAAACCGTTCTGCATGGGGTCAATCAAGAATATGATATTTATGCTAAAATGATTTAAAAGTAAATGAAAACATTAAACCACATTACATGTTAATTATAATGTAAAAAATAATATTACCCATACTTCAATACTAGAAACACATTTAATAAAAAAAACAATAAAGTACAACAATAACAATCATTATTGTCACTTACTGCAGTATTCAATGCATCAAAGGTTCTTAACCCCAGGGTTGGAAACCTAAACTGGTTCCCCATGCAATTTCAGAGAATTCATGGTGGTTGATTTTAGTATTTATTGTGATCAATTTTTAGCGAGCTAATTTTATATTTTTATGATTATAGAATGGGTCTACTCTACATATAATTTAAACCCTTCTAAAAAGGCCTGAAAACACTAATTGGATAATGCTTTAAAGTTAGTTAACACATAATGAAGGTCACATTTAACATTAAGTGGTACTTTCCAATGATACATCCTCCTGCACTTTAACCCTAAATGCCCTAATGATACATACTTTTAGCATGCTGTTTTTCATGAAGCTGTTTCACTCCAGAAGTTACCTTATGACTCATTCAGTTGAGAAGTATTGACTCGGGCATTATCTGAACCATTATCTTTATGTGTATTGAACATTCTGCTACGTTTTTAAACAACAGATGGCATCTGTGACCCAAAGTGTCTTTGAAACACAAAGGTCTTGACTTCTGACGTCAATTGTTACTTAGCAAATGAATATAACCAACATTCACCTTCATGCAATAATTAGCCATCGGAGAATATTACCTAAGCCTCACTAGTTAGAGAGAAGCAAAAGATAAAATTACCAAACTCATGAACATAGTCCTTGGTTTCGCCGGTAATAAGATCAAATAAAATTCAGCCTCATATTTTAAAAACTGCACATGCATTTTATGCTAATAAAAATATAAAATGTTGCCAGGTTTTTTCATTGAATGGTATTATACTCAGACATTTGACCAATTCTCCAAATATAGAGACACATTTGGCCTGTTTGCAGTTGAGCTTAATCAGTGTTATGCACTAAACCACAATATATGGAGAATTTAAGAATAGGTATTAATTTTTTGGATACAAAAGTTACATTGAAAAACAATTCTCATTTTTCCATTTTTCAATTTTTTCATATTTTATACCAAGATTTGGAATTCCCTTGTCAATCGATCCCAGTCCCCATTTAGAGACTCATGCTAACAAAAATTCAAAATCTTTATATTGAGTTGGTATTGGTATTACATTGAAAAATCGAATTAAAGGGAAACTATAGGCTAGGAAAACAAAATTGTTATAGTACCCTATAGTGCCCCCCTCACTCGTGCACACCCCGTGCCCCTACAGTGCAGAAGGCTAAAAACTCTTCTGTCACTTACTTGAATCCAGCACTGATGTCCCTCAGCTCTGGTTCAGGTTCCGCCTTTGCTCCTCCTCTGCCGAGTCTGGGACCTAATGCAACCGTATTAGAACAACCCTATAGGAAAGTATTAATACAATGCTTTTTTGTGGGTTTTTAGCTGACGCTGAATGTTCTCATGCAGAGCGTGAGGACATCCAGCGTCAATTAGGTGACCAAAAGTCAACCAACGACCCAGAAGCACCTCTATTGCCTGTCTGGTAGACAGCCACCAGAGGTGGAGTTGACCGTGCAATGTAATTATTGCATTTTATCAATAACTGCAATAATTACAATTGCAGGGTTAAATTAACAGGGGCACTACACCCAGACCACTTCAATGAGCTGAAGTGGTCTGGGTGCCTATAGTGCCCCTTTCAGTAAAAATAGTAAAACATTTCAATGCTTGTGCTGTGAAGGCTCCCAAT